TATGTGTTAAAAATTGGACAGGTGATCAAACATAACTGTGCTACTAAAACACTTTTTAAAGTTCTGAAACAATTTATCTTTTAGTGGTCGAAGTGAAACTTACTGTAAATTATAGTAGTCATTATTAAAATTAACCCAAAAGTTTGGTATAAGTGAATGTGCATTTGAAAAAGAGAAAATATTACCTAATAACTTTTGAAATGGACTAAAGTTTAGGTAACTAAATCAGTTCATCCTTGTGATTGATATGTAGTTGTGCAATAATTGTTGGTTAATTTGCCGTGAGAATGAAACTAAGCAACACAAATTGGTGATGTTGGATTTGGTTAATAAGATATGGGCGCAAAGTACCAAAGAGTTCTAATTCATTGAACTAAATGGAATGTGCAGGGAAAAATTAATTGGTTTTCGAGAATAAAATTTTGAAGGAAAATAGAATGTAGACTCGAAATAAGGAACCTTAGAGTGCTTCGTACTCGTTATAAAAAAATCACAGACACGTGATTGAAATAAGGTGGCTAACTTTATAAAAAAGATGTAGCAAAGTTTAAGGGTAGAAACTCACTTGATAAGGGAACATGGTGGTACAACATAAATGTTCAGTTAAGGCTAAGAAAAAATGTTGTAGATATTTACATATATGTGTAAATGCAATGGATTTTGATATTTATGAGTTTGCTAAATGGGAAGACAAGCTCACGCATAGGGATGGCAATGGCGGGGCAACTTTTTGTCTTGTTTGTTGTCTCGTTTAATTTATTCAAAATTTTGATTTTGTCATTATTAGAGAATAAAAGACAAATTCAAAATGGATTTTTAACGAGTGAACTGCCCAAAAATAAATTTATTTTTAATCTTCTTTTTCCTTCGTGGCGGGGCGGGGTTTTTTTTTTGCCATTACTACTCACACAGGAGTGTGGAAAGTAAAGATTTGAACCAAATGTAGTAAAGACAGAAAATAAAGAGTATAGTCTTGAGACCAAGAAATTATTGAAGGTTACCTCAACAAATTACTAATAGAAGGCGTGCGTGGATCTAGTGTTTAAAATGGCTCAATCAGACACTAAAGCAGTCTACATCGAGGCGCTTTGAGGCAAAAGCCTCAAGATAAATAATAGAAGAATTAAGAGTATAAAAATACAAAATATGCTTATAATATACTAACCCTTTTTAAAAACTTCCACAATAAAACTAGTCAACAAGTTAAAATTCAAACTTGTGTTATAAAGGAAATAGAAAATAAAAGAACCAGTAAAAAGTTTGTTTATAAAGAAATAAATTATATAATAAGGTGAAAAATTAAATGTTCGAAAATGCAATGCAAACGGGCGAAGACCTTAGTTGGCTTGGGGCTTGAGGCGTAAGCCTCACTAAGTTAAGGCACAAGTCTCACTAAATCAATGCCTAATCTTCACAAACAGCATTTAAGATGTGGGCTTTGAGTTGTTTTATAATAACCTTACACAAGGCAAGATTCGAGGCGTAAGCCTTAAATAGTTTTTTTTTTCTAAATCATGGGTGGATCTTAAGGATTTGTTATGTTCTATTGTAGATATAAATGTTAAACTATACTACAAGGATTTGGATTTCAGAAGTGACAGAAGCTGTGAAGAGGATGAATATGAGAAAAACAAATTGATGAATGGAATTCCTGAAGTTTGGAATACTTGGATGAGATTATGTTTGGAAAAAAGAATCATTCAATAAGATCTTAAAGAGCTAAAAAGATGCCACATGAAATGGGAGAAAATGTTATAGTAGGTACTAAAAAAATAAATGATATATTTGAGATCATACAAAGTACAAAGATATTAAGCTCATGAATCATACCTTGAAATAATGGAAAGTGATCGAACATTGATTAAGGTGTAATTTAAAGGTTTAGAGAGCCAAGTTGGTTTATGGCAGGAAGATCCACTTCGCAAGTTGTTTATTTTGGAGATTGTCTCTAAAGTATAGAGAAAAAAGTAAAATATTTGCATTCTAAAGTATAGAGAAAAAAGTAAAATATTTGCATAGGTTTTTATTAGTTAAGAAAAATCTTAAGAAATGCTAAGTTGGGTGCTATAGACTTTAAGGAATTTCTATTAGATATTATCAATTTTATTTAGGATGTGTATGAGTTTCCACTATGCTCGTGCAGAATTTTCCATTACTATAGGTTGCATTAAAATTTTACCTTGAGTTTTACCTTTTTTACTTTAATGGACGAGCCTATGAGAGAGGCCCTTTAGTGTAAAATATTCACTGATCGCATAGTTTTAGTTGTGAATCTGTACGAAAGGACGAACTTTGAATGATCACTTAGGAATCTAAGTTTTTTTCAGGCTAAGGGTCAATGTTTTTAGGTTGCTGCTTTGTCCCTCATCACCCTAAGAGAGTACGGAGTTTGCTTTTCTGTCCTTTGTGAGTCTTGTTTTATGGTGGAATGCTTTCCCGCTTTCATACTAGGATACAGCTTAATACGTAAAATGATCTTTCATTCAGTGTATCCAGAAGGATGACAGTAGAGCACTAGAGATACTTTAGTGTGCTGTATTTTCCCAAAAAAGTTATTATTTTAGCTACTTAGGCACGAAGATTAGTAACCAAGACTTGAAACTAATGTAATGCATAGAATCAAATAGTGATGTGTTACAAGATTCACGTGATCAAATTATAAACATGGTACTAAGTGTTGGCTGTTAAATGATGAAGTATCTATGTTATAAATGTAACGAGGATGTTATTGTGACTATATTTTGACAACCGGAGGTGTCACCAATTTTGGAGAAATTAAGAGATTGACAACTTGGTTAGAAGATCTCGTGTTTAACCTTAATAGCTCCCATTCATAAGAGTTGTGTGATTCCATCAGATATGTTATAAACGAAATATGTAGATAGTCTAATGTGATTGCAAAATATTTGATTTAATTATGTAGCAATATATTGAAGAATGGACACATACAGCTAATTCTAATTTTTACGTTGTTAAGAAATCCACGAGTCATTGTTTTTTGGGGAAAAAAAATCACTTATTTTCTCATAAAATTCAAAAACCTTTCTCAAGTCTGGAGTTTTTAAGATTTGATATTTACCTTTGCTTGAACTCTCTTCTTATCACCAAATTGATAACTATGATTTTTGTAGCGTTACAGTATGGAGATTGATATTTCTTCAATTTCAGTTTCGTATCACACTCCAATGTATTTTGTTAACATATTCTCTTTATTACTTTTAGGTGTCAGCCATGGACGATTACTCTCTCTGGAATGTTAATAATTACCTCTAGCTGGCTGATTCTGCATTCCATTTTAGTTACTTCAGTGGTTATCGCATTAATCTGTTCGTGGTGGTACATCTTTCTTTACTCTTACCCAAAGGTACAATCACCATTGTCCTTGTCCATCTCTTATATGTTCGTGATTTTTATTTCTTCGCATTACACCCAAATATCAATAGACTAGAGGTCACTCAACAATGTCAAACAGCAACAAAGTGTTGCTATCAATAAATCTAAGGTTGACTATGTGAATCCTTTTATGCTATTTCATTCAGTTCTGTTACATCTGTGTCTACTGAAATACTCAATGCAAGTTATTGTTCTGAAGCAGATTAACACCCCATTTAGCCCCCATTAAATCTCATCAAATTAAATTAAAGTTTTCTCTCTCTAGATGGATTTTGGTTTGCCTCTCTTAAAACACGTTCTGTTGAGATCGCACCACTCTCATGCACAAGACTTGAACATTCCATTATTTTGGCACGGGCTTGCTTGTAATGGCCCTTTTAACTTCTTGTTTTGTCAGGTTTCAGAAATTAGACAAAATTTCTATGTAGCGAAAATATATCGGCCTACCCCTCTCAATGCCATGAGTCACAACTACCCTAAATGTAGAATAGAATGAGGAATGTATGTACAATAGTAAGGTATTATAATTCTCTTCGGGTTCTTTTCTCAGGCATATACAGAGATGATTGCTGAGCGAAGAAAGAATGTGACAAGTGGCGCCGAAGACACGTACGGTATGAGAAAGCAATAATTTTCCAGGGAGAACTTAGTTTGGGAATAGGAAATCAAAATAGGTAAATGCTACAAGCTTGTAAAACTGTGAGTTGATAACGATATTGATTTCTGTTCTATCTCGTAATCTTATTTCGGTGACCAATTTTTAGTACATATACTTGTGTTATAGCACTGAAGTAGATTCTTTGATTTGTGGCTCAAAGAAACTAAGTCCAAATTTATCTTCCCTCGTCACTGACCAAGATTCTGCTGTACTCTGTATTTGATCTCATGATAGCTTTGATTGCGCCAGACATTATACTTGAAGTTAAGTTATTCTTTTGGTATTGTAATCTTATTCCTGATAACATAATTACTACAATGAGATGAGCGCGAAGAGGAGAAACTGGGATGGCATGTTGACTTAAATACAACTGCTATTCAAAGCGATGTGATATATAGATTTTCAGACATATCGATCTTCACTGCCCTACAAAATAATGTTGGCGGGGAAGAATGTATCATTTGTTGTAAACATGATGACAACGCTATCACACAATACAACCACAATCTAAGTATCAGATTCTCATGCGATATAGTTTGATGCTCATATCCTTCTTTTATCACTGAATGGAATTCACCATTCAATGCCTAAATATTGTGATAATATCCAGAACTTTTTCATATCTTTTGGGCTTCATTTCCGTATGCATGTGTTGGAAGATGTAAGATATTATTCTAACTCATGGGAACCATGAACAAACCCCTAAATCGAGGGGAAGAAAATATTGTACACCTCTCCTAATCTGTGGTATGTGCAACAAATAGTATTTCAAACACGTGTTAGCAGAGTATTTAAGTAGAGTAATGCTATTTGCAGTCGTTTATTGTCGTATTTATCTTACGTGGTATACATGTGACGGTTAGTGATTTGATATATTAATGTGATAGTTTTTCATTACTTTATGCAATAAATTACTAACCACCACACGTGTCATGTAAGACGACCGTGGTAGTAAGGAACTGCAAATAACATTATTCATCTAAGTAATATCATACACGATAACAGGCGATTAAATGATGCACCAAAATTTCATAACATTTCAAAAGTTTATATTGACATGTTAAGAAAAAACAAATAGTATACATCTAAAGAACCCTCAATACATAACATTATAACAAAGATTAGTATCATGAACCCTTAAGAGAGTTTTCTGGGAAGAAACTAACCAATCTTCACTTCTAAAAAGCATTAGTATTGAACCCAGACCCTCACACTTCTGTCATTATCAAGCGCTGCAGAAACAATCATGTTCTCTGTGGGATGGCATGTAACCGATACGACAGTATCAATGTGTCCTTCAAGTTTCTGAACCAAATTTTTACCCTGTAAATTCCACAGGTATATGGAGTGATCCTCGGAACCACTGACTATATACTTCTCTCCCGTCACAGAGAATGTTGACGTCAAGCAATATACTCCGTTCTTGTGACCTGAATATATCTTCAAGAACTTCCCAGTTGAGTAGTTCCAAAGCTTCTGCAGTCAAACCAAAACCAGAAAAAGGAAGTTTGAAAGACAAAACCAGAACTTGGAAAATAATATATGTATGCTAAGTTGCACTAAATAGCAAAATATTTATAATTTGAAGTTAGCTTTCAATGAAATTATTTAAAACCACAACGGGTGATGAAAGGAATTATTGTTTTATACAAATTTCACCATAATTAATGATAGCTAACTCACAAAATCCATCTAGAAAAGAACCAAAAACATGCTAAAACTATTTTTTTCTGAGTGATTAACTTTGTTTCAGTGCGGTTTCAAAAACATACTCGAATTGGACAACAAATTCTTCAAAACAAAAGTTATAAAGTTTTCCAACAGAAAAGCTCGATACTTACAAGAGTGTCGTCAAGGGTAGCAACAAGTATGAACTTCCCAATTGGTGAGAATTTGGCGAAAGACACGGCCGGAACTTTATCATCAATGAGTGTCTTCAAAAGGCCGCCGGTGGAGGCATCCCAAATTTTATAACAGAAGAAATTCCCCAGCTCAGCATCGTTTATCCAGCTGTAAACAAATTAGTTAGGAAGTTAGTTAGTTAGTGATAGTTA